ATAATATAGCATTTAGCCTAACAAAACTTCACAAAGTGTTGATATACTTGTAAATTCATGTTGAATGGCGCAGGGAATAGATTGTACAGATGAAGGTTGTATAATTTATGTATAATATGATAGCAGAAATTTGTAGTAATAATTATTATTCTAATGTAAAGTGAAGTGGTCCATATAGTATCTGTACAGGCCTCAGTAAGTTGCTCTACTGCTTGGTTCTGTTGCGAAGAGAACCACTAAGAATACATACAATATCACGTAATATAACCAGGTCTACAAACTTTAAGAAAGATAACACCATTTGAATGAGGAAAGCTGCATAGACTACAGTCTCCAAAAAATAGTGATTTAGAATGGATAGCATATATACTTGTATTTATATATTACGTACTTGTTGCGCTGATTTTTGATTGATTTTTTTCAGAAGATTTCAGTAGCTTCGAGAACAAAATAAAAAGAATTGTAGATGAAATATGAGCTACGAAATGCTCTGGTTTATTTTCTTAAAGGTAGAGAGAGATAGAATTAAAAAAAAAACATAGTGCGGGGTGCTGCAGTGTGACTGTGGTTAATATTTTATGTGCTGCTAATAGAACCTATTTGAACAGAAGTCTTTCGAATGAAGCCAAAATGTCTGTTGTGGAAGACATCTTAGCGTCAAACGGTGATAGCAATTCTAGGTTCAATGAGTTCCTATTAGCTTATCAGAGCTGGACACTGAGAATGTGATTGGTAATCTTGTTCGCTTCTAGTCGTCTTATTGTTTCCTTAAACAGATTCTTTTGTTAGCAAATAACGTAGACCATGTTCTCAACAAGCTTAGCTCTTTTGTATTGCAGTGGGACACCTCATCGAAATTGAATGTAGACAGATAATAACCTACAAAGGATGTTCTGATAATAATAAAGTAGATAGATACCTTCAGTTCAGATGCCTAGCCTAGATTATTGGTTAAAATAATATAGAAAACCATTTTGAAACTAATCGTATAATCGATGGATTCTAAACTTTATGTTTGATAAGCATTTTTATATTATCTTTATAAATATAATTAAAGTGTTCACTAGCTGTTAGTTGGTTTTAGTGATGGCATAACTTCTTCTTCAGTTCAAGTAGCGTTTAAACAGCATTTTGTTACAACAGACCCGGTTATGAAAATTTTAATTTTAAAACCAACCGAATCGGTTGCTAAAGAAAAATAGCTTTTAATTATTCAGGCAACAGTATATTTTATTTCGGAATGTAGAATATTTAGGAATAGAATATAGAATGGTTGTCCGTAAATTGTGGAATAATTTGAAAGAGCAGTGATAGTTTTGAAGTAGGAAAAATTAAACTAAAGACCTTCAGTTTTTTGCTTCTTGTCAGGAAAAGGTTTAGGAAATATGTGGTAAATATATTTCACTCCATGACTTTTCGATAACCATCGAATTTACCAATATTTTTGGCGTTGTAGTAATACCGGAAATTTGTTAAATTGAACTACTTCAACGCAGTCAGTGCAATCAATCTTCAATTTTCTTTTACAAATTCTTGTAAGTGCTTAATACTCCTATCGATGTATCTAAGGTCTTACCATAAAAATTGTTTTGGATTGCTTACCAAAGCACAGAGCATTCATTGCTTATAATATTAGCAATGAATTCTTCAAAGAGTTTGCTTCCAGTTTTATTACGAAAATTTTGAATTTATTTTACTACCTCAGTTTTGCTATCTCACCCTACCACTTTTATGAAAAAATATTCAATATGTTAATTACTTAAATGAATATTTTGGCTTTACAACCTCCTTTAAACATTGGTTTTCCTTTCCTATATGCATAAGTAATTTCATCAGAACCACGTCAGTTCCGTTTCCGGTTGCTTAGGCGGTCGACGAAATTACCGAAGTGGGCAATTTTTGAAATTGCTGTGTGTGCTTCGTGTTCGCTGGGGTTCACGCGGTGTTGCAATTAGTGGGCGCTGTCAGGTACTTGGTTTATGTGCATAATCCCAGGTGACCGCATTGTGGAAACGCAACCACCGACTCACGAAATGTTTGTTATACGCGCAATAAGTGGTTAGCCTGTTTCCGTTGACATTTTCATATTTCTTTTATGTCGAGATTAAGGTTAACAGTTTTTACTTCATACATCCCTTTTGCGGGCAATGAAAGTCAAGAAAATACTCTCGATAGCGCCACTTCGGATTGACAGGCATGTAGTGGCGCTCGATGTGGAAAAAGCGATACAGTTTATTACTTATGAACTGAAGTGGGCAAAGGCTTACGACGCCAAAATGCGGAATAAATAATTGCCGATTTACTTGTGACGTTCAGGGAAAATTTTGCACATTTGCATAAAAATTTCATTATTGCATGAACCATAAATTTTTAATTTCACACAATGCACGGGTTTCGAAAACTTATTTCTTGACTTGACCATAAATTTATTCCATAATTGTTGTGTCACTTATAAAATTAATATTTATGTTGTTAACCATTTAAGTTAGTTGGAGTTATAGATTACATTTTATTATATTTTCCATTTGAAAAAAGAACACATACTTGGAGAGCTGTAAGAAGTTGCTCTCCATTCCTTGATTTACACTCCATTTACTCCATAAGGTCTTGTGTCATCGCTTCCATGCACCAATTAAGCTTAGTAAGTCAACACATAAATGAGTATTTATAATATTATATGTATGTATAGGTAATCATACACCTACTTTACTTTAGTCCCTTACCATAGGTGCTTTATGGCATGGAAGTGGTTAAGGGTTTTTCGGTTGGACTTACTGTTGCATAGCAATTTATTCCAACTTCGTAAACAAATCAAACTGTTTATACAGCCCACTGCCTTATATTGATAAAATTGATAAAACAAATGTAAACATTCCGTGAGTTTTTATAAGGAATGTGATTTGTTATTATTCGTCGTTTCCCTTAGGTTTTGAGCAACAAATGAAAATTATTAAATCAAAAAAGAAAATATTCGTCTTGGATGAGATAGTGTGACCGTTTCGTTTTTTTTTTAAAGGAAAGCGACGATATTGATTTGATTTGATTTCTTATAGCGCAGATAATTTATTGAATTCCTTTTTAAGTAATTGAGTCTTAAAGTTGATTGATTGTAGTGTTAAGTAGACCTAAGTTATCTGCTAAGTAATCCGAACAACACCATTAATCTTAACATGTCTAAATTGATTTTAGTACTTCAAAAACGTCTAACATTTTTTTATTTTTGATATGTGACCTATGCTAGCAGTGGGACTATAGAGAGCTGAACTCTATATTTAATTATATTATTAAACTATTTATATATTATATTTGATTTTGTTTTAGTAATAAATCAATTTTATATTAAATTGATTCAAATATAGTTTTTAATATGAAATTGATTAATTATTTTAACAATATCAAATACACGGAGGTATCAAAATTAACCTCTCTAATAGTTTCGATTAAGTAAAAATTAACTAAATTTAGTCACCCATTAAATTTTAAAGTCTTAACTGACGTGAAAATCAAATTTAATATCAAATATATAAAAAATTTATTAATATTACTTAATATGGACGTTGGCTCTTATTAGTCTCTCTAAAAACTCTTTAATATTTCAAATCCAAGGAAATAATTTAAAGGGATTCACTTTAAATTATTAAATATAATTTAACATAATCGATAACTTGAATATTTATATTCAAAGCTTTAAAAGTCCAAGAATTCACGACCATAGTACGATCCATTGTGTGGTGAATAGTACAAGTGGTGTGTAATTGCATGATCATGGTGGGTTATTCACATTATCAAAACAAGGAATTAAACGTCAATAGTCCAAATCAGATGGATTTATCTTAGAATGTTGATGAACACAGTTTAGCAATTTGTATGAATGATAATCACTTTCTAATTATACGAGTATGTTGCAAATTTTCTCTTCCATCTACCATCTTTCTCTTCTCTCCCATGAGAAGAGATGATCAACTTATCTATAGAAACTTCTAAAATTAGTGTTGGAAATAAGGACTGGGGCAAAAAGATAGTAAGTAGATTAAAATACTTTTTAATTTTTAAAATCAGTTCTGATGAAAGAAACCACGTTTCTTAATATAAACTATTGTTTTAATAGAGAGGTATTTTGAACAGTAGTAAATTACAACAACAAAATTTTATTATTTATTTCAGTACTGTCAAAAATCTATCATCAATAGGGCTTTGGAAATATTTCTTGTATTTTTTAATAAAACTTTCTTAGTAAATCAACAAAACTCCAAGTTAGAACATACAAGTCAGCTATGACTTTGGGTCAGTTGGATAATGAACACTGACCCTGGGCTTCAAATTTCTTAAAGAACACTGCTGATGGTTATTTGACAATACTCAAAACAGTTATATGGTCAGTCAAAAATTGAATTAAATAATAAATAATAAAAATTTTGTTGTAGTAATTTACTACTGTTCCAAATACCTCTCCATTAAATAGTTTTTTTCTTCAATATTTTCTTAAAGTTTATTCCTTTTTCTCTCCAAATTTTAGCTATTAGCATTTCAATTTACTACTGGATTTATCTTTTATTTTATATCCTACAATTCCATATCTTTTATATTTAATGATTGTCATTTACTTCGCTAAAGTTATTGCATTTTAGTATTTTAAAGTGCTTGAATCCCTTAGACGTGAGAACTTTTTTCGAAATTCGCGTGCCGTGCACTTATTATGGATTTAGTGGGGAATCACACAAACACACTTATATGCAGTATTAGTAGTCTACAAACAATGTATGTTTTTTCATTTACGAATATTTATTTAGTTCCTTCCACTCCGAACCGACAGGCTGACTTAGTGACTTGCTTACTGTAATTCGGTTTCGTTATTAGTTTAGACGACGGCATTGGATAATTTAATTGTGTTTGTGATAATTACATTTGTATATGTGTAAAGTTTACATTATTGTTCTTTGCTTTTGAGTTGTAAATGGAAAATAATGTATTCACACTGGCAGTTTGGTTGCGGACTTCAAGCATTACGGACGGAACTCACAACGGTGCTCCATTTAAAATTGAGATAGTACCAAAGAAATAATATTTACTAGACGATTGCCATACACATTCAACGATTATAATGGCTTCGTCCTTTATTAACCAAAGTAATCCCAGAGCGAATGTTTTCATTTTCGTTAATTTGGGTTGTGAAATGTTGTATGTCATCGATCAACGCCTGAAAGCGCAACAAATAGCTGAAGAGAAGTCAATTCAAGGTAAGCCTAAATCGGCTGACCGTCATATGGCGTGTGTTCGTATATATGCATGTGTGTGTGAGTGTGTGTGTGCGCGGGTATTGAAAGTGTGTCTGTGGAAAGTGTCCTTATCCGTTCCTAACAGGAAGTACTTTCCGTTTTAGTTGTTCAGTTTTGTATGTTTGCACTTTTAATTGGCGTCACTGCAATGCGAAAGGAGAAAGAACTTTACGCCAACAAATCAACAATAATTTTAATGATAATGTCTACAAATTACCTTACCACATGCAAAATAAATATTTTCTTTTATTTATTTTGTTTTTAATATTCTTAAAGGATATATAATTATATAAAGAAATTATAATAATTACAAAAATATGTGAGCGTTCTGTTCTTATAATTGTTGATTGTATAATAAAAAGATTGCAAGCCAAGAAAAATAATTTCCTGTAATTTTTGTGATTTATTTGTATAATTTATGTATATTTAATGTTGAAAAATATCACAAGTGGGAGTAATAAAGTTAATTGAAAAATAATAACTATGTTTACAACAAAAGGGATATTTGGTTATGCTTAGAGTTATTTAAAAAATAATAATATGTATGTGAACCCATAGGGTTTACAGGGAGCCTTGTTAGTTCCTTCTATTACTGGTTAAGATTATTGTTTAATTAATCATAATAGTGGCGGAAATAATATGTAAATACGACTGTTGAGCTAGAAGGAATACTTTGTTATGCTTAGAGTTGTTTGAAAAAATATTATATATGTGAACCCCTAGTTTACCGGGCTTTAACAAGCTTTCCTTTATTACTAGTTAAGATTATTGTTTAATTAATCACAATAGTAGAGGAAATAATACGTAAATGTATAAATTTTCATAAGAGTACTATTTTTTAGCTAGAAGGAATACTGTGTTACGCTTAGAGTTGTCAAAAAATATATACATGTGAACCCATAGTATTACGGGATTTTAACGGGAGCCCCTATTCTTGGTTAAAATTCTTGTTTAATCATAATAGTTGCAGGAATAATATGTAAACATATAAATTTTGAGCTAGAAGGATTACTTCGTTACGCTTAGAGTTATAACAAAAAAAAAAATATACATGTGTATACAAAGTATTATGGGGTTTTAGCGGGAGCCCCTCCTTTCATATTACAGACTTTTGCTATATTAGTTTTCAATTTGACAAGAATTTAGAAAGCACCCAGAAAGCAGAAGCTAGCTACCCTAGTTTCGGTAATAAATAGAGCAGACACTAAAAAATGTGATGAAAAAAGTGGAGATCTGGACGCAGATTGAAAACCAAAAGCGTAGGGTTTGCAACGTTAATATAAAAGAGACCCTCCCCAAAGTAATGTGAAAGCGGTTCTTGCCGGGAATAAATCTCTCCGAATAGGGGGTTTTTTAGTCCGTATACTACATATTAATATATTAGAGAGTCGGGCACACCATTATGAGGACGGAAGGTTTGCCGGTGCATAAAGCATTTCACTTTCTCACCACACAAAAAAAAAGTTTCCAGTTTGAGAAACACTGTAGGAATATCTTTCTCAGATAAGGTCTAACATAAAGTTCACTCAACGTTGTCTTTTGAGTGTTATAGTTTGAAGATTATAGCTCTGAGAGCCTCATTGCAGTATACAAGAGCAGACATAGAAGTAAATACGCTAAACATTTCAAAACCTAAATTGATCTAAGCCAAAGGCTGTGGACTATGATAAACGAAAAAGATTGAATCGGTATCACATCACATCACTAATATACACTGAAAGTGTAACAGTTAAGAATTCGTCATATTTAGCTGTGTGTCCTTAATATATCTAATACCGAATATATTTGTATTATATATATACAGTGAAATTCGATGTTAAATTTGTGATTAAATATAGTAATGGGATTTCTCAACTAATTTCTAGGTCTTAAAAAACTACGATGATGACTTATTATTAGGGTACAAGTATTCTTAATATATTTTTACTCTAAAAATTCGTATAGACTATTATAATTATTGAAGCAGTATTAGTTCCTAATGGACGATATCCTTACGATCTCATCAAATATATTATTGTGCATCAATTTTATTCTTCATATTCTTTGTTTAGTCACTGTTCATTTTTTTTATATTAATTTTGTTTTTCTATAACGTTGGATATACGATCTACCTTTCACGAGTTGATATCATTATGGTGAATTTGCAGATCCTTAGCAAAATCGTAACTTTTCATATACCGCTGTTCTAGAACCTCATGGATAATTTAGTCAATTTCTTTGACAATCAGCGGATGTAAATGAGATGACTATATTATGAGGACTATATTGGATGCCATAGCACTTGTGATTTTTCTATGTAATCAAATGTCCATACAAGTAATCCTTAAGTAACGTCAGTTCTCGGTCAGTCTTCGGTTTGTTTAATTATTAAATATGGCTTCTTTTACATTGATAATTATTTGTGTTATCTTAAGTTCCTTATGTGCCAATTTTCCAATTTCTGTAAGAAACATTTATAACAAGACGACTGCAATCGACCTATTGAGGATATACGTGCCGTATAAATTTTGTATATTTATGTAGAAACGAATTTTGAAATCAAATTTTTTTGATGATATTTAATATATTTAAAGATATCCAATTAAATCCATTTATTTTGATACTAATTATTAACTGATTATATTTATTTTATTTACAGTCATGCACGATATAATCAATGTTCTACTGGAAACTAAATTCATTGATTCGCTTATGCGTGGCTCAGTGCATAGCAATGCTCAACTTTTTAAAGTGAATCAATGCAAATTTATGTTAAAAGACGTTGCCACATGTTCACTAATGCGTTTGGATGAAGCTTCTATGGATAAACTGTGGAATCTAATGACAATGATCTATAAATGGCAACTGTTCGTAACGAAACATCAAGTACATCTTTTGGATATAACAATACGTCATTTAGACACTGTATCGAAACTATATCCAGATTTCAAGTGTAATATGCTTATCGATTATACAAAAAACACACTTTTAGATTTTTGGAATAATTGCGGCGAGGAAGGACAATTATCTATATATCATACTAATATTGCATGGGTGCAGTGTTTCAATACAAAAATTTCTTTACTCATAAGACTTGGTTTTCAATCGAATGATGGATTACTCTTACGAGATGTGCCGGAAGAGTATTTTGAAGAGTTTGTAGATTCAATTGGTGATAATATATATGTGAAAAGCACTGAAATCGTTAGGCAGCCTAGAGACATTGGATCCACTAAAGGTTCCACAACAAATCGCATTGATCAATTAGCTGAACTCTTAAATTTTCAACAAACATTTTGTGATGATCTCAAACCGATAAATCCTACACAATTTCAAAAGCAATTCGAAAAAAATCTTCAACAATGTAATATACTTTTTGAGGATTTGGATGTAAATAAAATTAAGGAAACTTCAAATATTATTTCACCATTTGATGGAATAAATTCCCATGAATCTGGAGAATTTGTGCAATTGAAGCCAATTTATAATAGAAGTTCTGAAATCACAAGTACAGTTGGGAACAAAGCTGGGAATGCTACCATTAATGGTAGTAATTTTAGTCTGGACAAAAAGTTATTAAACTTGTATAGTGAGATGAATTAGACTTAAATTTGTTTTTTGATATATAGTATAATTAATAAAATTTCATATGTGAACAATCAAATTAATTAAATTATTTTGGATTGTAAAAAACTCTGTTTGCCAGTAAGATACTTCTCTGTATAATCTAATATTTTTTGTTTATAATAAGGAGATGTTAAATACCAGTAATTAGTCGTTTTATTATCATCTTGACTATTTGTAAGTTGTCAACATATATATGGTTTTCTAGAAATTTGTGGAGTCTGATAAGAACAATCCACCATTAACAGATACTGTTCTTCATAAATAAAAAAACAAGCAAAAAGATTATACTATCTAAATTATCAAAATTATACTATCTAAAGTCCACACCATAATTATCGAATCCTCATTTATTCTTTAAATTCATTTATTCTTTAAATTAAAGATCTACATCGATATGCATAGATTCAAAACTTTTAACACATGATTCATCTACCAGCCAACGCGATCAGTGGTTTGGAGTCACTAGTTGGTAGTACCTCAAGTTTTTTGTCATCTGGTCTTTCTACAGAAGAACGGACGTCCTTCTCCACATTTTCTACCTGTGAGTACCGAATCAAACGCCTTTCTAGCTGGAACACTTTCTTCCATTCACACGAAAAGCCACGTATATGATATACATTGAGATATCTATGATATTGCTTTACTCTGAGTTAACAAAATGTTAAGAGAAAGTCGTAATGTTATATTTGAATAAATATATTACTAAGATATAAATAAATAAACATATATATATACATTATATATATACATATTATTCTATATATAATTGTAAATTCTACTCAATTATTTGTTCAGTTTCAGCATTTATAATTTTCTCTTCTAAAGATGCATCTTGGTATTGCTGATATTCAGAAATAATTTCATTTAAATTATTCGCGGCTTCGGTAAATTCAAGTTCGTCCATTCCTTCATTTGTGTACCAATGTAGAAATGCTTTTCTCTTAAACAATTTAGAAAATTGCTCTGATACCCTTTTAAAAATTTCCTGCACGGCAGTATTATTACCAATAAATGAAGCGCTCATCTTGAGCCCACACGGAGCTTTGTTGTAAACAGCAGTCTTACAATTGTTCGGTATCCACTCAATAAAATAATTACTATTTCTCTTTTGTATATTAAGCATTTGGTCATCAACTTCTTTCATTGAAATACGTCCACGAAATACTGCAGCCATAGCTAGGTAACGTCCATGGCGAGGATCACAAGCAGCCATCATATTTTTAGCATTACACATTTGCATTATTAATTGACGTACTGTTAAAGTTTTATTTGCTAATAAAGAGCGCGGAGAGAGTGGCACAAAACCGGTGATAAAGAAATGTAAACGTGGAAATGGTACCATATTCACAGCTAATTTACGCAAATCGGCATTCAATAGACCAGGAAAGCGTAAGCATGTCGTAATACCAGAAGTTGTGGCAGAGACAAGTTCATTTAGGTTGCCATACGTGGGATTTCTCAATTTTAGTGTTCGGTAACATATATCATATAGGGCTTCATTATCAATAACAATTGTTTCATCTGTATTTTCGATTAATTCCTGAGCACTTAACACACAATTGTAGGGTTCCACTACCGTTTCTGATACTTTTGGTGAGGGTATAACAGAAAAGGAAAGTAACATACGGTCAAGAAATTCTTCTCTTAATTTGGATATGAGTAATGTGCCTAAGCCTGACCCAGTGCCACCGCCCAAGGCATGAACAATTTGAAAACCCTTTATAGATTGAACTTGTTAGTACATACTCGTATATTATATATATTAAATGGGGATATGAACCGGTTTTGAACCAAAAATTAAACAAACCATTGTTATTTTGGATTAAATAATGGTGAACTGAACTTTCTTAAGCCATTCAACTGTAACGGTTCAAAAACATAAGTTTGTTCGGAAAGTAACAACTATCTATGTATCTATATATTTACCAATCCATTTTTTTTTTCTATCTAGTTTTTACCTAATAGAGGGTTTAAATGTATTTTTGGGATTTTCTTCTTAAACGTCAAGAAAATGTGGTTAATTTTCTTGGTGGTTTTTCTTCATGGTTTAAGATAAACTTGGGACGATAACAAGTGTTGTCTACAACAATATTAAATTCTGGAATAAGGATCATTGAATTAGGAAGTGTTTCTAATCACTTTTAAATCGACATTTATCAGTAAAAGATGATGGTGTCTGTTTGGTTGGATTTTAAAAGGTTTTACAGCTTGGATAAAGTATAGCGACAAATCCACCATATCCGTCAGATTTGGCTCTTACTGATTATAATGTATTTTAGTTATACAAAATTATCTAAATATTGAAACCCGTGCTTCAAATGAGGAGGTCAAAAATCATTTGTATAATTTTTTTGCCAGACAAAATAAAAAAAAGGACTTGGATCACAATGGACAACATACAATTCCATGAAACATTATAAAAAAATTGTTTTTTGTTTTCCGAACAACACAATATATACGGTTCACAGCTCTACCCTTTCAATGTATAACAAAATTTGTTTGCTCACCTGTAAGCAATCACAACACTCACACTCTTTTCTAATTGTATCCAATATGGGTTCTATTAATTCTGCACCTTCCGTATAATAACCTTTTGCCCAATTATTCCCTGCACCTGCTTTACCATATATAAAATTATCGGCACGGAATATTCTTCCAATTGAACTGGAACGTACTTTATTCACTGCACCAGGTTCAAGGTCCACAAGTACTGCCCTTGGTACATATTTCGCTTTTGCTGTTTCATTATAATACACATTGATACCGTCTTGCAGTTTACACCGTTTGCCGCAATAGCGACCCTCTGAATTAATACAATGCTCTTTTGATATGGCTTCCCAAAACTTAGCTCCTATTTGGTTTCCACACTGACCAGCTTGAATATGGACTATCTCACGCATACTTACTAGTGATTCTTTATGTTGAGTTTACTTTATGTACTCGTAAATACATTTATATAGTTGATATTGTACTATTAGATTTTTTTTTCTTATAAATACTGTTCTTTTTATATTAAAGATATATACTTATTATACTTTCATGTATAATTATAATACATATATACAATTATGACAATTTTTTAATTAATTTTTTTTTTAAAGTTTATTACAATGTGTTATTGATTATCACTTCAATTTATTATTAAATGAGTTCCATTTTATATTTTTTGGTAAGCTTTAAAGCCAATTATTGTTATGTATATAGGTTAGGTTTAAAGGGCGCTTCTTGAAGCACACATCAGCATTTATTCTCAGAGACAATTACTGTACAATATTTTATCTAAGTGTGACACCCTTAAAGTTACTAGGAGGACATAATCCATACTTAACATTGTTTCCAACACAAAATGCATTGCTTCTAATATAGAAACCATTGTTTCCAATACAGAAACCATTGTTTCCAATATAGAAACCTTTGTTTCCAATACAGAAACCATTGTTTCCAATATAAAAATTTTCGCTTCCAATATAGAAACCATTGTTTTCAATATAAAAATCTTTCCTTCTTGCTTACAACAGAGACCTCATTGTTTCCTTGTTAAGGAAATCCGATAAGTTACTTACTTCAACTCTATCGGAGCAGTATAGAAATGGAATCCTAAACATTCGAACCGCTTCGTCCGTAGTTTTGGGTGGCGATATAGAAAGTACTTGATAGCTTCCACTTCCACCTTATTATAGCAGTAGCTGAACAATTAGTTCGTTGGAAGCTGCCAACGCTAAATCTTTGATGCAATAGAACAGCGCTCCGTTAGTACTCTAGTAAGCACACGAACTATAGATTTGCTGAAACTCAAAAGATCTTTTCTTATGTTATCTAATCTATGTTATAGGGTCTCGATGACTATGCGATTAGTCCATGTGTTATTTATCAGCGCAATGGCGAATTTATATTTGTTTCTCAACAGTAAAGGCATCGGAGTTTGTATTAAGGTGCTGGCCTTGATAAAAGTACATATAGTCATTTAAATTGTAGACTTTGGCTTCAGATTTTTCAACTTTATTATATTGAAGGTTAGCTATTCGTAGCTTTAATTGATATCTTACTCATTCTTGTTGCCTAAAATCTCTCCTTTCACACTTTCTGTAACCAACCGTATTTTAATCCATATATTCGGATTTCTCATTCCTTGCATGTTAAACTGGTCTTAATGGGTCATTACAACAACAACAACCAAACTGTCAACAACACGGAGCTTTAAATAGAATTCTTGTAGTGAAACGGATCTTTACAAAGCCTATACTGTATGTAACAATGATTACATGTGTTCAATAATTTCCAGCAGATAATTCTATATCTTATCACTAGATAAATAGATATGTGACAGACTTGGCAACTCATGAAAATCCTTTGTCAGTATCTCATTGATACTGATGAGATAGATCTGTGACAGACTTGATATCTAATGGAAATTCTTTGTCAGTATCTCATCGTCATTAATTTTGATACAGTGAATATTTTGCAACTATATTATTATTGTAAATATATTAAAACTATATATAAATAAAATATATTATTTTTAATCTATTAAAATAGTTTCATTTTATTATTTCTTTTTACGTATTTAGTTTTTTTTCAATTTTTTTTTGTTTTAAAGATTTTTCTGAGAAATTTTATAAAAATTAGTTTGGGATTGCAATTAAATACACAAAATGAAATATAATCTTGCAAAAATGAAATTAAATAAATAAATAAAGTTTTACAATATTTTGTAGTTTTTGCAGCTGTTTTCTAAACAATTGTGATAGTGAATTTGTTATATATCGACGGAAGTTTTTGTTTTTGGTGCGTTCGTTAGTAGTTAGAACATCATAATTTATTGTTGAAGACTTTTAGATATGATTTACTTTACTAAAATTGTGCAAATGTTAATCATGTATATTGTTTATAATATTAATAAAGTTTGAGCGTTTCTACGAAAATAAAATCTACATAATTTCTTTAAGAATAACTTTACAATTTAGATTTTTACTTTTTGTAAAAAATATATATATAAATGTATATATATATATAAAATTTTTATATTGTTTTCTAGACAATAATTTAATTCATCTGTTCTTTTTTTTTCCTTAATTTATGTCATAAAATTATAAAATAAAATATTTTAAATCAAAATTTAATTAATAAACAATAAAACATTTAAAATTAAAATTATTGATTGAAAAACTAATTATTAAAAAGTAAAATTAAATATTAAAAAATTATAATAAAAAATAAAAAAATTATAATAAAAAATAAAAAAATTCAAACTGTAAGTAAAAAAAATTACATTTTTGAAAAAATACAATGAATAAACTCAAAATTAAGTATTTAAAAATTTTATAATAAAAACCAACTTTTATAAAATTGAATTACTGGCAAATTTATGTATTTAAAGCAACATTAAAAAAACTTAATTATGAAATAAAATTTTTGGTTGGTTGCAGTGGCGATTTATGGCCGTTTTGCTACCACATTCCTTGGAAATAAAATATTTAAAATTGAAATGCAAAAAAACAAGCAATAAGGTAAATAAAATATAATTTACAAAAAAAAAAAAAAAATTTAAAACCAAATATAAAAATACTAAATTTAAAATTATATGATTAGTCACAATGCAATCATGTACGTAATAAAATAATTATCCAAATGAAAATTTTAACAAATTTAGTTATGTACAGATATTTAAAAATAATTAAAAGTATAATTAAACATAGAACAAAAAATTAATATGTAAAATATTAGTCTAGCAGATATGATTTTCGGCAAATTTATGTTATGTTCTAAATATAATTTTTTTTTATCATTGAACAACCCAATATCTATCAGTTTGTTTAACAGTTTCCTTTCTGCAAAAAGAAAAAAAAAATACAAAATATATAATAATTCGTTTTACATATACAATTTCTGTTTACTGATATTTTTGCGAAAATGTGCTATAAAACATAAAAATGTTTATAACTTTTACGTCTCTCTCTATGGCAACAATATTGTTTATTGCAAAATGTGTATGTGTGTGTGTGTTTGTTTGTGTGTATGTGGTGTAGATTACATTTTTGCTTTAAGCGGTACAGCATCTACTAAGATGTTAAGTGCCATTTTAAGGCATTCTTCTGCGGAACTGATTTGATCGCAAGGATAAGCCTTTGCATGTGTTGTTAGGAATTCGCAGTATTTACGATAATTCTCCAAAGCAAAGTCATAATTATAAGCAACTAGACTTTTCATATCTGTCTCGTTATTAATATAAGGTACCATCGATTTAGGTTTGAGGCTTCGATAATTGGGATAATCGTTTTCACATGCTTCGCACTTACAAGTGAAACGGTATTGCATGGATAGGGTTTCGATACGCTGATTCTTAGAAAATATTGCAAAATGTGGTCTGAAAAAAAGAAATAAAAATTATTAATAATTAAGTGATAAAAGCACATAAAAATTAATTTGTTGTTTTATATTAATTTGATACTTGTTAAGTTAATTTCTTATTGACACTGAAAATAAATAACACAATTTGTTATAAAAAAAAAAGTTACTGTTAATTTATATATGTATAATAAGAACACATACCCATAAGTATCATAAAGCACTCCGCCAGCGGGTATAGGGCGAAAAACTAATAAATAAGCTTTAGTTCCATTATAAACTCTTAGTGTATTTGGTGCGCATGAGTGATTAAGTAGTGATAAAAGTGCGAATGCACCAGATGAATGAGTTTGATCATCTTTTGTTTCGTTAACTTGTTCTACGAGATCTATACCGTGCATATTTGATGGAGATGTCTGAAGATGTCGAAATAATAATTCTGTAAAAAAGTTTTGTCCTTCATCACCGCCAAGAAACTCCTTAAGTGGTGTATACTCAATTATAAAATGTTTCAGTACGGCACAAACTACAGATCGTTGAAATAAATCTGATACTGAACGTAAATGCTGATTTGTTACAAGACCGTGTATAGCACGATAATGCTCTCGTGGTGTAAAATTCGTATAATCTAAGTCAAAAGCTGATTTGTTTTGATTTTCAGGATCATCACAAAATGAAATCAACTCTTCTATAGTAGGAAACAGTTCTATTGCTGTAAGACATACTCGCAAAGCGATGCCATGTATTTTATTAAACATCTTATATAACAGATCAATAATAGGACATTCATATTTATGAAAAGTCGCAGTGGCTCGATCGCGACATTCCTCCGAGCAGAACATTACTGAACAACAGCTGTCACAAGGTATGAGCGTAAGATAGTTTTCTTGCTTGCAAGTGGCACAGCGTATATAACGCATTGGTGGCAACAGTGTAGAACAAAATGGTTCTTCAGTGGCTATAAGGTCACCAACGACTAGATCACGATTAGTATATAAGAAACGTCCTTCTTCATCAGTATG